ATTATATCCTACGGGTGTATTGCTACAATACCAGCAGCATATTTAGGATTCAGTTTAAAGGCTGGAGTTTCGTTGTAGTTGCTTGATTCACATCTGTGTGTTCCAGCAGCTCCGCCATCCAAACCTGTTTAACACCGGGAAGGCTGTGCATCCCATTCTAACTGAAGGTAATGCAAGTTATATCATTGAAAAGGCTAATTGCTCTCTGTTCTCAGCTACTACTTATAATGTTTTCAGCTGAAAATCTGAAAACTAGCTTAGCTAGCCGTGTTCAGATGAGATAAAGTTAGCTAACTGCTAGGTTTGACTAGCTCAGCATATTTCATGCGAGCTAACGTAGACAAACGGTTCAGATAAGGACACTGAATGTTGCCGGATCTTTTTAATGGTTCTTATAACTAACTATATTGTGACTAAAATGTGCTAACTAACTATTAAATTAATACAGAATTGCATTTGGGGCATTTAGCCAGTTGCTAAATTAACCTAGCTAGAGTCTGCCAAGCCGGTATTACGGTTAGAAATAATGTTAATCTTTGTGTTTTGCAACACAGATAGATAATTTGTGATTTCTATTGTGCTCTAGAAATTTCTGATATTTTCGGTTGATATTAGATTATGTCAGCAGTGGTGTGACTCTTGCAATGCAGTGCTGTCTTCTCTTTTTGCACAGGCCTGGCTCGCTGTCTACTCATTAACTGTAGTTTATGAGAACGTTTAACGTTCTCCATTTTCGCAAGCTTACACTTTCTCTCTTGTAGGACGTAACAGTGCAGGTTCTGGACTTCTGTCAACACGTATCAGGAGATTTTTAGATTAAATTGTAAGCTCGGCTATGAAACTGAAACTGTAATGTTTGTTGATGTTGTGCTGAAGGACACGTCAGTGAAAGCTGCTCGGCTCAGTACATTTGCTTCATCTTGCTGTCAGCTTTTGTAAGAAAAACTACAAATTTGTGAAGTGCAGGTAGTTATTATTAATATGTACTATTTCTTTCTTCTCGTGTGTACAGATATGAGGCTGTATTTGTTGCTAGCTGTGACCCTGATGTCCCTCCTCACGGAGGTTGTGCAAGGGGCTGAGAAGAAAAAGCTTCAAATTGGAATAAAGAAAAGAGTGGACAACTGTCCCATCAAGTCCCGGAAAGGGGATGTGTTGAACATGCACTACACTGTAGGTGTCCAATGTATTATTCATTTTTCTATATCATTCCCTCTTCCCCTTACTTACGTGACCATTTTTGTTATTTTGCCTTAAGGGAAAGCTGGAGGATGGAACAGAATTTGACAGCAGCATACCGAGGAATCAGCCCTTCACCTTCACCCTGGGGACTGGACAGGTCATTAAAGGCTGGGACCAGGGTCTGTTAGGGTGAGTTCAGTTTTAGTTCTTCTCAGTGTTTTGTGGTTGGCCTGTGGCTTGTATGGTGGTTTCACTTGTTCTGGAAAGGGGTTTGGGTTTGGGCATGGATCACAGGAACGGTGCAAAAGTGAGTCCTAGAGAGGGCTCAGACAGTGTGTTGCAGGGAGAAGTTTTGCTGTTGAGCGTCATCTCTTTCCTTCTTGTTTTTAGAATGTGTGAGGGGGAGAAGAGGAAACTGGTCATTCCGTCTGAGCTTGGTGAGTAACAGAGGGAGTCGCTATTTACATCTGAATTTACATTGTTCAATAAACAGACCTTGCTTAGAGTGATTTACAAAAAAAAGCAGATAATTGTTTGCATGGAAGTCCAGCAAGGAGCCATGGTCAGGGCATTGCCGAGTCTGTTTAAGTCCAGTATGAGGTCTGGATGAAGAGAAGTTATAATTTGTATGAGTAATAACTTTAATAAGATGTTAAAGTCAGGGTAGACAGATAAAATTTGCACTGTTCATTTGTGCTAACAAGCTCATAAATCTTGTGGCCAGAATTATAGAAATGTTAATTGTATATACAGTGTATTTACAACTGACACACATGCTTCAGTACAAAAAAAAAAAAACTGTCCAAAGTTGCTTAGAAAAGTGAAATATTTTCGTTAGCTATTGTGGCATTAACATTTGCCAAAATCCAGCAAAATCTGATTTGATGCAGTTAGTTCTGTGTCTGACCAAACAGAAACTCTAAATCTTGTAAAATAGTTATTTTGTTATTAATGTTGGATATTTGTGAAGATGTGAAAAACAAGCTAGTCTGGGGGGAAAACACAAACATTTCCAAAAAAATATAAAAAAATTCTAGGCCACTATGCAGATTCTTAGTGGCCAAAATGTGAAATGTCGTGTCCAGGGGCAGCAGGCAGTTGGCAACATTGACCTCTTGTGCAAGTCTAAGTATGAGAAACCTCCTATGTACAAAATGGTAACCTCACATAAAACAGAAAAAAACACTTGGAATGGTAGTTAATGGAATTCTGAATAAATAAATGAAAAAGATAAATATATAAATGAAAATAGAGAGGTCATTCAACTGAGTGGTTAAGAGGCCATGGTTCCATGCTTTATGTCTGTTGTGCAAGTCCTCACAGAAAGCAGAGCCTGGAATCCTGAGTTAGATGGTGAATTGCTGTGTGAGGGGGCAGTGTCAAGAGATGCATTCAAGTCTTTTGGCTGCTGTACACATCATGACGTGTTTCATTTGCAAAGAACTGCTTGACATTTGAGTGCAGCCTTGAAAGTGTATAATGCTGCAACTGAACTGCACGCCAGTGGACTTAGTTCAGTAAAGGGTTAACAAAAGAGACTTTTGGGAGGTTGTGAGGCAGGTGAGCAGCAGCATTCTTTCTGTTGCTTTGCACAGAATTGGTGGCACTGCAAGGAACACAGATAAGGAAGGAGATGCTTAGATGAGGCTGTAGGAAGCACTTTTGGTCTGCAGTCATCACTTCCAGGATGCTGGATTTCAGCACAGTTAGGTTATTTTCTCTGCTTGAACACAACTGATTTCACTTATCAGTTAATTGCCATGTTTAGTAGGAGTGTTTAAGCAGGGAAATAACCAAACTGTGCTGGACTTTTTCTCAGGTTGTACAAGAGGAACAGCAAGGATATACTGTTAGACATGATTACCATTTGGTTGCCATGCTGGAACCTGTATTAATCAAGCTTCTCAGAGTACAAGTGATGATCTGTTGACTATGACTTTACTGACAGGAAAAGATCCTAGATCAGCACTCCTACTCTGAGACGCTTTGTGAATATGAGCCCTGGTCTGGCAAAACAAGGATTAAGAATGGAGAGTTTAGGCACAGTGCAAAGGGTGTCAGTGACTGCTATAAGGCTGATCTCCATACAATGGCCAGTGTTCTGTTTGTTGTGTAGCTCATTTGTTTGTAAAAGTGTGGACTCACAATATGCCAAGTAATAATCCATTTGGTACTTTTCCAGTAAAAGTACCAAAATAATCCAGGAACAGTTTGATACAGTTTAACGATTTAACATAGTCAGTGAGTGTGTTTACATCCACTTAATAATCTGATAACTGCAGAAAATCAGATTTTGTCAGTAATCTGGTCAATGCGTTTACATGCACTTGAGTAATCAGGCAATGTATACGCTCCAGGTTTTACATGAGTCAAGCAGAAATCTGTTTACTGCCTTGCAACCAGCCAGTGAACTCAGAAGAAGATGTGACGTCAATGTAATGTTAAACTTCATGCTGCGGCTTTTTAAAAAACACTGCGCCACTTTACCTGAAAATAAGAATATACATAATTTAGAAAATAAAGAATATTTAAGTCCCTCATTTTGTGTAGTTGGTTTCAGTGTCGCTCCAAAAGTGTTTTGCTGCCATCTCACGGCAACGCTGCTTGCTTATTTCCAGTCTATTTTCGCACATGCGCAGACTGAGAAATCTGAAAGAAATCCGAATATCCGAGTATACATGCGCTGAGAAATTTGTCTGGAACTCTGCTAGATCCAACAACTGCCCCTATGTTTTGCCTTTACATAGTTGAGAGGGAAGCCAGTGTTTTATTTACATGATAAACATATATAATTTGCTACAACCGAAGCCAATTTTGGAACTACCAGATTACTTGTCAGCTGTCTCAAGTTTGTCATGTTCATACATTTATAATCAGGTTAATCTCTCACTTCATACTGTTACATTGTAGGTTATGGAGATAGAGGTGCACCACCCAAAATTCCAGGTATGTATTCTAGATATACAACATAAGGTGTGTTCAGTGTGCTGTTGTTACATTGTGTTTTTTTTTTTCTCATTTCAGTCAGCTTTTAGGGCCAGTGTCCAGCACAGTTCAGTAACTTCCTTGCTCAAACACACCCACTGAACAAGGTTTCAAAGATGATTCTTAAATGGTAGAGCAAGCGTCACACTCGACACTCTAACACTTAGGATGATGTTAACACTAAGATGCTTTTTGGAGTCTCAAATAAGTTAAATTATGTATGTGTTTGAGCAGGGAACTAGACACTATCCCTACAGGACTGAAATCGGAAGACCCTTGCTCTATACAAATCCCATGTAAAGCATGCAAATAGACCAAACAGGTCACTTGGCAGAAATCTATTTGAACAGAACTGAATGCTTTTTTTCCTAACTGACCATCACTGATTCCAAGATCTAAAAACCATTAAATGCCATCATATAGTACATGAGGTTATTCTGTTCCCAGACAGTCTGTGTCAGTTTTAGCATGCTGCATAGACACACTGCCATGAGCATCACTTTGTATGTTTACTTTTGTCCTCTAGGTGGAGCCACACTCATCTTTGAAGTAGAGCTGCTGAGCATTGAAAGAAGATCTGATTTGTAGTGACATAAATTTGCCTTTAAGTCTTAACCAGTCAGAATCATTGTGCTGTAAGATCAACAGCCTCCGTCTAGACAGTAAAAGCACTGAAGCTGGTGGATTCACTATTGCTGCTCTAGAGACTGTGGCAGTTTCAGGGGATTTGTTCCGTAGCTCATCATATTTCAGATTTGAAATGATCAATAAACTGTCCACCTATACATTTGGTTTTCAAATCATAATTACACTGAATCACAAACATCTCCCAACACATTTTAGCACCATTCTTTATTTTCTTAAGAACCTTACTACACATAATTGGTTGTGAGAGTGCATACAGTACAGTTTTTCATTCCAGCAGACAGGGACTGTGTTTACTTCGGCTTTGTCAGAAAGTTCATTTTAAGTTGTTGAGCTGAATAAAAGTTTTATGTACAAAAAATGTTTGGACATTGAAACTTGATTTATCATAGAGCTAGGCCCATACCACATACTAGTGTCAACGTTTCAACTCTGGCACCTTTATAGTCGTCATCAAAGTTCATCATAGCCTTCGATCTGCATACACATGAAAGGATGTGTTAAAAAAAGAAGAATGTAACAAAATTCACTCCCAAGGTATTGCTACAATTCAAACTGAATTTGTCGATCTTCTGTTTTAGAGCAGTCAGATTACTGAATCCAAGTCTAGAGCGCTAAGCACAGATCTGTCCGGATATACCCTAAAAATCTACTGAATGAAAACACGCAAATTCCCCAACTTTCTTTTTCCCTTAATTTCACATCAAAATACCTCAATCTAAGACACTTCAACATCAAATCAGTACAGTTCACTTCATTGTCTCTAATAGCTGCCTTAGCCCATTGTAAAACAAGTATTACTTGTTCTTATAGAAATAAATGAAGACATTAAGTGAAAACTACGTGGACAAAAAAGGAAAAAGTCAATCTAATTTCTACTCAATTACTGATGCACCAAGCCATGTCCTATGGCACTTAGTGTTTTAGTGTACAAAACTGAATAACACCAACCATTCCACATTTCCTCTCCCATACCTTTAAGCTAAAAAGGACACTACCACACTCTCTACGTGAATAATATATCAAGGAAACTACTGAAACAAAGTAAGACAGTTGGGGTGGTTAACCTGCAGCTGAGATTGGCTTGGCTGAACTCCTCGCTCGTCTTCGTTTTGACAGACAGACGCTGTGTTGTAGTGGTTGGGTCTGTGTGCCCGCCTCCACCTCTCAGGGTTGGAGTAACAGGGTTGAGGGTGGGGGGGGGAGCTCGTGGAGTTCATGGGGTGAGATCCCCCTTCTTCTGTGGAGTGCTAAGCTTCTGCATTCCCCTCACCTTTTCCAGCAGCGCAGCCACAAAGTCCTGAAGGACGTTAACAACAGACACAGAAGATGAGCATCTCTTTTAACTGAGAGATTTAAAGAAATTCCAGCCACATGATGATATAGAACATAATAAAAAAGCCAATGTCGGAGTATTCACTTTGAGTTATTCAGTTATTAAAAAGCCAATGCTGGAATGTTCAATCTGAATTATTGAAAAGCAAGTGTTCAAATATTCAAATTCAGCTATGTCTTTAAATTTACAACATAAGGATTTGTCAGATGTTCAGAATACAAAAAACAAGTTGACCTAACAGTCATAGATATGGTTTCTCAAATATGGACTTACATCATTAGGTTTATAACAGTCAACAAGCAGCATCTGGAAAACAAGCACAGTTGACCAACATGAAAATGTCAGTTTGTTTGCATTAAATATATATTGTATTCCTTATAGGTTTGGGGACACAGTGTTACTTTGTTATAACATTAAAAACGAACAAGGTTTATTTTGAGGAAAAAATAGCACACATAGAAATGTTTCTGACAATATCTGTGACAGTGCTACCTTCCCACACAGAAAAATATAAATTAAAATTGTATTATAGTTTTCTTTCTTTTTTTTCAATCTTTTACATTTTTGTAACCTGTTGTTGTATGTACAACTTTTAATTTCTATTTGCAGAAGAAGTAAAGAGTCTCCAAATGTTCCATGGGCATTGAACAGTAGTAAGACTACTACGAGATTTGCTGCAATTGTTCTGCCAGTAGGGGGTGGCTGATATGTTAAAAATCACAATGCTTTCAGACGATTTCACGATACACAATATGCATCAAAATATTTAGTTTTTCTGAGATTTAAGAAGCTGGAACAGACAAAATAGAAACTGTATTGCCACATACAAAAAATGCTATAATAAACTTACAACTACAATGATTTGTATTCAATCTTTTACAAATCATCCAGCAGTTAATCCAGTTAAACAGGCTTAAATATGCTCACTTTGCGATGAAACATATAGTTAGTGTTCAAGTACTTGTGATATTCACAATATGCTCAGAAAACCATTTTGTGACAATTTATCACAATAACGGAACATCATCATGTTGCCTAGCTCTATCTGGCAGGCTTTCTCACCAGAGTTCTATTCTTAGTATTTGTACTATGTGGGGCAAGACTTTTAGCCTTTCACTTGTAAGGACCAGTAATTCTACAATTCATATTTATCTAGGCTTTTTTTTTAGATTTCAGCTTCCTATTAGCATGGTATCCCAAAAACAGTATTCTGAAAGGCTAACATATATGAAATAAAATGCATAAATGTCAATCTGATTGCCACTAATGTCACAGTATGTGATGTGGCTGTTTTATGCGAGCGTGAATCACATGAAACGAACAGAAATATCAAACCAGCATTGATATGTTTATCAAGAGACAACACTGAAGTTAATTTTTACTGAGATCTTCGAAGTCAAAGAATAATACAAGTCAGAGGCACAAACCTTCACTCTGATGGCTCTCTCTACATCACTGGGTAGATCCAGTAGCTCGTCCACATCAATCTCCAGCTCAGGGACTTCATCCTCCTGCAATACACACAAAATGAGAGACAACAGTTGTTAACTATTGAGACAAGACCATTCTATGTGGAGGGCATATGCCTTATAGAATGATTTGTCAAGACAGAAAGATGACATAATTTATGTTTCAATAAGCTTTTCTGGGCATATTGTAGACACACTGAATACTTGAAGACAACGCTGGCAAGTAGCAGAATACATATAACAGCATTATGTAATCAGGATATAAAAAGGCAACTATTTTGTTACAGTTACAAAAAGCAAGTAATCAAATTACTTATGCAGTCCCTTCCACAATTATTGGCACCACTGCTAAAGATGAGCATAAAGGGTTATAAGAAATTCACCTTTAGGTGTATTAGCTTAATCTCACTGAAAAATTAGAACAATCCAACATTTCACTGGAGTGTATTTATTCTGAGAAAAAAAAATATAATTATTTTTAACAAAACCACATGTGCCACAATTATTGGCACACTTTGCCAATAAAACAGTTATAACATCCTATAACATCTTATAGGGTTGGAGAATTCAGAGCAGGGAATGAGACCAATCCTCTTTACAGAATCTCTCTAGGTTGTCCAGGTCCTAAGTCCTCTCTTGTGTACTCTCCTATTTAGCTCACCCCACATTTTCTATGGGGTTTGGATCAGGGGACTGAGATGGCCATGGCAGAAGTGAGGTTTTGTGGTTAGTAAACCATTTTTTGTGTTGATCTGGACATATGTTTTAGATCACTGTCCTGCTGGAAGATCCAGTAAAAACTGGATTTTTTTTGTATGTCGAGTCCATGATGCCATGCACCCTAATGATGTTCCGAGGGCCTCTGGAGGTAAAACAGCCCCACAGCATCACAGACACTCCACTACACTTAACAGTACCAGGTTCTTTTCAGTGTAGTCATATTTCTTTTTACGCTAACCCACCTTGAATGTTTGTTGCCAAAACGCTAAATCTTCATTTCATCTGACCACAGAACATGATTCCACTCAAAGTCCCAGTAGCATTTGGCAAACTCCAGATGTTTAGGTTTGTGGTCAGATGACAGGAAAGGCTTTTCCTGGCATACCTTCAAAATAATATATTAGCATTGAGATGGCATCTGATGGTAGTTTTGGAGACTTGGTGACCCCTAAACACTACTTTTTTGGTAAACTCTCCAACAGTGCCTTCTCTTACCATCCTCCGCCCTGTTTTTGGAGCAAAATAAACTGGGGTCCTCATCCAGGCATGTCTGTCACAGTTCCAGTTGACAAACGTTTTAATTAAAGTAGATTAACTGTAGATATGGACATTTTCAGGAAAGTAGCTATTTTTATAGCCATCCCCTGACTTATAAAGGTCAACACACTTTTCCCTTATTTGAACTGTCCCATGTTGAAGAATGACTAAGGTCATTTAATCTGTGTTATCTCATTTATATATTTATACCAGTGAAACAGGAAGTCATAGATTATTGCTTAAAAATTCCTAGATACTTTGATCAACTTGTAAGTAAAATATAAATGGAATATATGCTTCAGTTACATTTTATTTCTAAGGATTTCTAAGGATGCCAATAATTGTGCCATGTGGTTTTGTTAAAAAATAGTCTTGAAGAGGTTTTTTTTTAAATCTCAGAATAAATTTACTTCAACTAAAGTTTGGATTTTTCTCATTTTTTCAGTGTGATATTATGCTAATTCACTAAAATGTGAATTTCTTAAAAACTATTTTACTCATCTTTACCAGGGATGCCAATAATTGTAGGGGTGACAGTTTATATAGGTGTGGTTACCAGCAAAATTACATTAAAACTTAATGACATTGTTCATGTGAACCACTACCCTCCCATATCACCCCTGGTGCTTTTTTTCTGTGGTCTCCAGAACCTATTATTACTCTGATAAAGGTAATGTTTCTCATACACACACAATTTATGACCGCAAACATAGCAAAGGCATCAACAGAGCAGGACATTTTAAACATATTTGCATTTGCTGGTATGGGTTTCCTCCCTGCTTAAGCTACTTATGTGCTAACAGCCCACTATTTTGGAAAAGATTAGAGTACAGGGCACACCAGAATGGCTCTACTTAAAATTTAAATTTGAACATACCAGTCTCTGCCAAAATTTCATGATGTATGAACCAATAAAAGTGATTCTGAATATAATGAGTTTTTGTAAAGAACAGCTGATGTGTAATAACTTATTTTATTTCTCTAATACAGGTGGTATTCATCATAATATAGCAGTAATATCTGTTGTATGTGTAAAGCCAACTCCCAACAACATCTATCATTAAAAAAAAAACTTCATAGTTGCTGTCATGCAAAAAAGTATCTCCATTTTTGTTTTTCATATTTTTGCATAATTGTTAAAGTCCAGTTACCCTTTGTCTTGTGTTAAAATTTCCTGGTGAACAAACAGAAATAGTCCAAAATTAGTTGGAAAAAATGTTGATACATTAACTTCTATTACAAGTTAAGATTTTTTCCTGTAAAGTTAACATTTTAGACTAGCGACTATATTTGATATTTTTGCTATAAAGCCCACACTTAGTATTTACGTACAATCATGTCTTAACTTTATACAGTGTGGCAACTTTCTCTTCATCCTCATGAAAAGTACATCAACGGATGTTGACAGACCAAACAGGACTTGAGCTATTGTCTACATATCCGTGACTAAGGAGATTCTCTGAGGTCTTTGTCCCTGGTTTCCTCCCTCTGTCCCCCAACACAACAGGATGTGCTGAATCCCCTGGGTGTGAGTGAGAGACCATAACCCTTGGTCACTTCCTCGCAACTCGCAAAGAACACAATGTGTTCAGTGTGTTTCCTTCTTTCTCCAAACACAGCCTACCATCACCTTCTCAGATTTACTGATGGCACATAGAGGCTCTCTTCAGCTGTGGCTGGAGAAATGATAGGAATGGTGTAGGCATGACGCCGACATCACAGATCCAGTCCATGAGACTGAGGCCACCATTCATTCACCATTTCCTCCATTTCTGCCTTTCACTGTTGAATTTGAATGCTCTTTCAAATCTGTGTTGCTTCCTCTCCCTCTGCTTCAAAATCTCACAGCTTTCAAGGACAGCTGTCATTGCACCTGGCTTTAAATCAGCCTTGCGAACCATCTCTCACACACAGTCAGTTTTTCTCCTGCTGTGCCTATGGGCATGCTTAGACAGGTTGGGTGTAGGGCTGGGTCAGAAATCTAAACATTATATATTTTTCCACATCATTCTATACTTATCAATATTATATGCATTTCCTAATGTTTGCCAGAATCTCTTATTGTTTCAAGACATTTTCCTCAAACTCATGACCTCTTGTACTTTCTATGATTTCAACACAGAAACTAGTAAAACAACAGACTACACCACTACGTATATCCAACGGGGAACAGTATTCCTGAAATATTCATCTCCTTGGGCCATCATTTGCCATTTTGGGCCACTAACCCCCTCAATTTCATGGCACAAAGATTTTCCTGATAGTGCATAGCTTATCTGCTGTTGTGAACTGTTACAAGTTGATACCTGGCTTTATTAATTCTCTTTGTCTTTGTCACACCCTCTTTTCTCCCCCTCTCCTCCACCTTCCACCTCATCTTCACGTGACAAGGTTCTTTGATGTAAAAAGAAAACTCTTAACTGAACTAAATGTACATGAAATTTTAATGGATTGCATTGCATCACTAGCTAACTCTGCTAAATATCATGCTGAATAAGGCTGTTAAGAGTGAATGGCTAGACTTCTCCCTCTCTGTCTGGAGAGTAAAGTGTGCACATCTGGTCAATTTTAAACATCAAGTTTAAACCCTTGTTGGTGACACCGAACTGTAGAACAGACTGTCAGTCATTATACTGAAAACACCTCTAAAGTTTTTCAATAATATAAAAAAGTATAGTTAGATAGTTAGCGTTACTGTGCTGTCACCCAGGCCTAGTGAAGTGTACAGATGGCTGCGGCAGAGCTGTGGAGCTGGAATCTTGTGCTATTTTACATGAATGTGAATGTGTGTGTGTGAGTTTCTGTGCAATTTAAGTCACTGAGCAAGCAAAACTGTGACAGTATGGGAGCAGCCTGGGTTATGAAAGAATTCACACTGACCCATATTGCTCTACGGCAACGCTACACTGAGCTGGCCTATGTTGCCAAGGGCTGCATACACAGCTCAATGGAGCAGAGAGCACAGAGACACTGCCATTTGCATGTATTCTGCTCTGTGCAAAAGGCTGTCTTTAATTCCTCACAGTCAATCAATAACCCTAAAGCTAATTTTAGGGCTGTTCTTGTAGGAGGACATTAAGCTTCAAACATATTAGCACATTTTAGTACATACTGCATATTAGTACAGCACATTACAGCAGCCTGGATTAACACTTGGGCCTTCACAGAAGCAGCATAGTAGTTGAAAGTCATTTAAAACCATACAGCTCATAACTCTCAGGTTAGAGCATAAGACAGAACAGCACAGCCATATCTGCTTTATTTTAAAGCCATTTAATCTGCTGTACCATGAAAAGGGCATCTGAGTCATTCTCCAGGCTACTGCACTAATATGAAAGGAAAAAAAAACATTTGCAGGCCAAATACCTCAGCTATTAGCTAACTGTGGCCTTCTTCCAAACCATTAAAGGAATTTTAAAAGAAAAAATCAGGATATGTAGCCTTGTCAAAACCTCACAGCAAAGAATTGTGTACTTTGTCATATCATGTATTGTTATCCTTTTAGTTAGGCTACATTTGACTTCTGTTTGAGCTGAGGGCTGCTGTGATGTAACGTGTACTTTTTAAAAGTCAAACCTAATTGAAGAACAAACGTTTCTGGGACTGGGGCAATTTCACGGTTAAGTTCCTCTGTCAGAGCACATTAATATACCAACAAGCCCCTGACACTTCACAGGTTAATAATAAAACCACAGGTGCATCATCTTTAGACCCCAGTAAAAAAATGCATTACAAAATCTGGTGGAACCTGGAGGATCTCAAGGCTCCCTCACAAGTTACACATGCAGGCGAAGCCTGAAACCTCTACACGTGTCTACATGGTGAAAGATCTGATACTCACCTGTGACAGGTAGCTAGAGGCACCTGCCTACTGAATGAAGCATTAAGATACAGGCCAAAGCATCATGGCTTTCGTTAACACAGATAAAACCTTGTTCTGAACTGAAAAGGACATGCAGTGCAAAGGCTCTACTTAAACTGCTCTTTTAGCCTGAGACAATAATCTGGGTCAGAGTTATTGGCCCAAGAGGTTCACTAACTACAGCATGCTTTGCATGTCTTAAGAGATGACATCATCTCTGTGCCTAAACGGGGGATCTCTTAGATCCCTGAGGGCAAAACAAAAAGATTCAGAAACTCTCAAGACCTCATATATATATATATAGAGAGAGAGCAGCCTAAACTTTAAGCGATAAATGGCCACTTATAAGCTATTTATATCGAGACGTAAATTTCTGCAGGCAGAAAAGCTTCTGTCAGACTATATTAGGCTGCAGACTGTGAGAAAACTAGGCTACTGGAGTCCACTCATAAAAAAGTCTAATATCACTGTGTGAGGTAGGATTTTTTTTTTATTGTACATATATGTATATGAATCTACCTGGGCCTCGCTTTAGGCACCTTCTTATTGTCATCACCTGCATCACCTTTGTTTTACGGCTTTGTCTGGAGTTCTTGCCACGCCCTTCTATACGGAAACCCAGAACTATCATAATATTGGTTTTCCAAACCATTCATAAATATAAGACCACCTTAATGATAAGCTAATATGAGCATAATTAGTTATGAAATGAGAAAATGTGGGAACTGAGCACGGCAGTGTGAAAAGACACGGCTGACAGAGCTGACAAAGGATTCCTGACTTACAACAAAGGACTGTACAGTAAAGTCGTGCTGTGAGGGAACGTTAACGTTAACATGTGTCCTACCTCGCAGTCGTATAAAGTCATTAACTGGCTAACTATCCACTCCTCCAGATTCAGTCGCCTTCTCAGTTCTTTTCTGTCATATTTCACGGTCACTCGCCCTTGTTTCTGTGGAACTTCTTCCTCGGTGCCGGGAGGTGTTTGAAAATAGACCCGGGGTTGAGGTGTCGACTCAGGACTCGTCACCGCCGCCATTGTCCAGTGATAGAAAGCTTAGAAATTGAAGTTTAATGTAAGAAAGCAAGTGCTCGGAGCATCAGTTAAAAGACGGTGCCAATCTACTTGTGCTCTGCCATGTGGACCTCCATTGCATCCTGTGAATGCCCCGGTGCCTCTTCTTTCCAAATTCAGCAGCGTTTTCTTTGTAATTGTCGAAGGCGGTAGCAGCTTTGGGCTGTAAGCTGTCTAGAAAAGCGAAAGGATTAATTTGACAAAGTATGTGACACATCAAAGTCCATCTTCCAGGCTCCGGCTATCAATTGTCTCTGCACACAGGTTGTGGGCGCCTCCAAGTGACCGCACTTCTCACCCGCCGTGCGTAAATGTCTCCTCATTTCATGAGCGCAAACTCAAATTAATGATGTTTTACATGAGGTTTGGTAAAATTATGTGTCAAATATATATTTTTGTGCTTCACAATATAAAAACTGCGTCTACATTTTAATATTTCCTCAGCAATTTTAGTGAACCCCCCCTCCCTCCGCTTTATATGGACTCTTCCTCCAAATCACATCTCCTGCTTACCGGTACGCAGCCATGACAGCCAGCTGAGCAGTGGGCCTGGTTATAGTCCCTTTCTTTGAATTAGCCTTACATTATGTTAACAGGCTGGGCTGCCTAATAGCATTTGTGTTTTTTTGTTCAGATGAATAAACCACTGCGTTGCTCTTGGATTTCAGTAGGATATGAATGTTTAACTACCCATTCTGTGTTAGGTCTTTGTCCATGGACAGCATTCTGAGTGCTCAGCTCAGCTCAGTTTACTATGGATTTTTCAAATATGAATATTGATGATACATATCATATTGTTAATCTAGTGGCTGAAAGATTAATTGTTTGTATATTGAAAGTGCAATTTTCAAATCACAAGAGCTGCAGTTTTAATTACAGCCTATATTTTCAACAGTGTTGTCTTAGGTGTAGAACATTAACCTAATATCAGAGCTTGTAAATCGCCTGTAGATGAATTAGACCAATCAGCAGCAACCAAACAACTGTATGTTGTGACATCACATCCCACTAACTGGCAGTCTGGCATGTTCAGTGTTTAAGTCTCAAGCCAGAAAAAGGGGGATGCTCTGGTCTTCTTGGCCAGAGTAACAGGCCTAAACTTCAGTTTCAGTTTACAAAAAATAATCACAAATTAAATCGCATTTGAAATATCGATCAGAAAAATTGCAATTAAAAGATTTTCCTAAATGGTTCAGCCCTGTAATCTGGTTGTGTATAGTCATGATTTCCAATGTTCACACTGAAACCTTATTCAGGTAGTTCATACCTCACATCCTCTATGAGAAACATAATGCTTTAGTATATTTGTAATTTCCAAAAAGAATTGCTTATTGATCCAGACAGTTGTTTCTTCGTTTCTGTTTGCACAGCTGGGTTTTAACTTAACCAAAAATATATCACCATCCTTTCTATAAACTGTTACAGCCGTTTGGGCGCCCCTGGCCAAATGATTATGTTTTGTTGATTTTGAAAATAAGTGAACACATTCTCTACAGAGAACACACTTCTGTACATTTAATGCACAATTATTGTTCATTGCTTAATTAAACATATTGGGAAAAAAACAGAATGTGTAGCCTCTGCTACAGTTATGGCACGAATCATATTTTCAACTTTCTATTAATTCAGCAAATAAATAGAAATTGTGCTCTAAAATTTGCAAAATGGCATGTATGAGTTTGTTTCCTGTAGAGGATGTATTAACTAATTATGACTTAGGATTGTAGAATTTAATTTGGCCGGGGGTGTTCATTCCTTTGTATACGACTGTATGACTGCTCTACATGCTATGGCACCATCAGTTTGGGAGGGCAAACGTTTTTTCCCTGATATGTATGAAGGTTAGAACTGCATTTTTGAACACTAGCCTGATGAGGCACTTTGTTGTACCTCCTTAACACACTCAGAGAAGAACACTTAGCACTGCAACAACCACACACAAGCCCCAACTGTATGGTATGTCACATGGCAGTCTTGAACTTTTGTGGTTAAACATGAGGAGCCTCTATTCAGACCATGAATGCATAGTGTGATCACAGATCACAAATAATGTCCATGTTCTGATACGTGCATCACAGCTGGGCAAACGTACAGATTTGAATCCATTCAGGCTGCACTGAACAAATAAGCTTTAACAAAAAATACTCAGGTTCTGATACCCCCGTCATAATAATAATAATAATGATGATAATACTAATAATCGTGATGATATAACTACTACAACTAATAAAAATAATAATAATATTAATATTGTTTTTATTATTATATAAGAAAAACGTGCAGAGGCAAATGGCAGTAGTTTCTTCTGTGATTAGAGGTAGATATTAACCTATATAACAGGAATAGTAGGTATTTTTTATATGTTGCATATAACAAACAGCTGCATCAAGACATCAAGAATAGTTTTACTCTTACTGGCCACACGATGGAGCCAGAATTTGTAAAAATCACCAGCTCTAACCCTAAACCTAACCCTAACCCTTACCTTCATTGTAACTAGTGCTAGGATTAGCTGTTTTCATTTTTGATATGGATAGTTGTAAAAAATAAAAGATAGGTTCACTGGTCTTTTTTTTTCAGGGTCCTGGCTAGCAGCTTTTATAGCTTTTATAGTTTTCTTATCAACTGTATTAATGCTGGGGTTATTAACCTCATTAATTCAGACTTATTTACTTTATTAAAGCACAGAGTCATTAACTATATTAATACTATCTTATTAACTTTATTAAAGCACAGAGTCATTAAGTTTATTAATACTGACTTATTAACTTTATTGAAGCACAGTCATTAACTTTATTAATACAATCTTATTAACTTATTAAAGCACAGAGTCATTAAGTATATTAATACCAACTTATTAACTTTATTAAAGCAGTTATTAACTATATTAATACTATCTTATTAACTTTTTAAAGCACAGAGCCATTAACCTTATTAATGCTAACTTCTTAATTTTATTAAAGCACTCAGACATTAACTATATTAATACTATCTTATTAACTATTTTAAAGCACAGAGTCATCAACCTTATTAATGCTAACTTATTAACCTAATTAAAGCATAGTCATTAACTATTAATACTATTTTATTCAATGTATTTAAGCACAGAGTCATTAACTTTATTACTGCTGACTTATTAACTTTATTAAACTTTATTAAACTTTATTAAAGCCAGCTTAGCAACTTTATTAACCAAATGAGTAAATTACTTTATTAATGTTAAATTATGAATTTTATTATTGGTCATTTATTACATTTGCCAACGCATGGGTTAAATGACTTTATTAATGATTTTAAGTTGATTTTAACAGTAGAGTTAATGTTAGCTGTTTTTTTAGATTAGTGCAAGGTTAGGATTGTTTTCATGGGCTTTGTGTGGGTTCAGGATTAGACTGCAGTAAAAGTATTTAGCATTAAAGTTACGGTTGGGTTAACAGAGTGTCTCAGTCAGGATTAGTACAGTAAGCTTAAACTGAACTGAATAATAAAAATAAAGGCAAATATAGGCTGGGCAATGTGACAATAATTATCAGTATTGTGAAAAAAATGTCACAATATATCAAAATATGCTTCTCTGAGTACATCATGGATATCATCAGCACTTAGACAACACTTCCCAACAGCATGTTTGATTACAAAGACAGTGTCATTAGTTCTGTCTAACTGGATTTGGTGCAGTGCAGTGTGTGAAATATTAAATCCAAATCATTGTATTCATAGTTTTCAATAGTATTTTTTAAATGTGGCTCTACGTCATCTGTTCCAACTTATCAGATGTCAGAAAAAATAAATATCATGACATATTGTGCATCATAAAATATTGTGCTATTAATTTTTTGCTATATTGCCCACCCTAAAGCAAGTAATTCTTTAGAAACTGAAATTAAAACATAAACTGAAAATGTAACTAAGTAATAATCCATCCAAATATAAGTATCTAAAATAATATAAAAATAACAAGAAACAATAGATCTTAGAATGATGATTTTCCAGGTTATGATGAGAGAAGAATCTTCAGACCCATTAAAACAGACATATTCTGGATACTCTGAGCTACTATAATCACTAAGAAACTAAAATAATCACTTTAGTGATAAGGTCTATCGTCTGATGAAATTATTAAATCTTATTATTATAATAAAATCAAAATCTGACTAAATGACTAAATCCATCCTGAAAACTGAACAGAAGCTGAAGCGAAATTCACAGGAAAAAATAAAATGTTTGAAAAAAATTGAAAAAATAAATAAAAACAACAACAACAACAACAAAAAGCTGTTTTGGCATGATCAGTCTGGGCGTAATAGCTAAATATTTTCACAATAAACAAAATCTAATGTGCTTAAAATGTGTGAAGGCCTCATAATGGTGGTACATTGGATATGTTAAGATTACAATATTTGATTTTTCTGATTACTCTGCCAACTCAGTGCTGTTCCACCAGATGGCAGCCTGTGATCACCACATTTTCAAAGTGCTGTCCATATTTTCAGATGCTATTAGGCAGTGATAAGGTTTTTGCATGGTGGATACATTTTAACATACCTGACTAATAAAATAACGAAACCAATTTATTTCTGCAGGAGAAAATGTAACGTAGAACAGCTCATTGTATAGATATGGTGTTGGTAAATGTGCTTAAGACAAAAGCAGTTTATACTGTTATCCTCATTTCTAAGCACGATGAAAAAACATGTGAAAAGAACTTTCCCATTATTGGCACATGCACATCAAAGTCTCCTCGTACTGTACTAAAAAAATGGAAAATGTTTCCTTTAAGCATGAACAGTATTCTGGGGCAGATCAGAGTTGTGGTAGCATAGCAGCATTGCAATCGCAAGCACAACAAACACAAAGTGAGCCATACTGTTGGTCTGCACTTACAGCCTTATGTAAGACACGGCTTTCTGAACAGAGGTGCTGTTCATCAGGACTGCACAATATATGGTTTGTTAATCATTATCTTGATTTCAGCCTTTGCAGCACTGCTTTGATATGCAAATGAGCCTCTAACCAATCACAGAATTGGTTCATTGTGTGCTGGGAGCATCCTGACCAATAACAGATAATCCAGATGGATGTTCTGTAGGTATATGACGAGAGAAGACATGCTTCTTTGATCCAAAATGATGCAGGTCGAATCTTAAACCACATCACATTAAGGAGTTATCAATGTATTTTTAATACATTGCAAGGCAAATCACGGTGTGTAGCTACACATTCGTAATGAGATATTTTGCCCATATTATTTAGCTCTACTTTAGATTTTTAGAGATGTGCTTCCCCCATA